AAAGAGTGTTAATCATTTTATGTTTCGGAAAACTTTTAAAGTTTACCCTTGATATCAGCTGTTACTCTCCCCAAAACCTTATTTATTTGCATCTGTTTTTATTTACATAAGCAATAAAGATATCAGGTTATTTTTATGAAATCCAAGAAGCATATTCTAAATTTCTCTAGATGAGTAAATATAAAATAATAGCCAAGAGAATTTTGAGAGTGAAAAAAAAATGCCCCATCAACTATACAAATGTACTAAAAATATATCCTAATTAAATAGTAGGATAGAGACAGGGATAGACAAACAGCTCATTAGAACATGATAAGAAATCCAGAAACTGACTGATGTGTATATTAAAAGAGAATTTCATATCTGCAGGGAAATAAATAGCACTGTGATAATCAACTACTAATTTAGAAAAATGTAAAGTTAGTTTACTTTTCTGAATCATACACACAAATAAATGCACCCTTCCAAAGTATAAATAACAGGTAAAAATAATAGTTTTACACTCTTGGCCTCCTCCATCCATAAGATACAAAACAATGAAGTAAAATATAACAATACGGATATATTTGAATATACAATAATTTAAGCAAAATACCATTAAAAAGTTTAAAAGTTAACAGATTGGAGAAAAATATTGCAACGTATGCAATAAAGGGCTGGTATCCATGATATCTAAGGAGATTTTACCAATCCATATAAAAGACAAACAACTACCCAAAAAAATTGATCACAAACTTTTTTTTTTTTTAAAGAGACAGGGTTTCACTTTGTTACTCAGGCTGGAGTGTAGTGAGGTAGCCATGCCTCACTGCAGCCTCAATTTCTTGGGCTCAGGTGATTGGCTCACCTCAACCACCAAAGTAGCTGAGACTGCAGGCATGCACTACCATGCTCAGCTAATTTTTAAACTTTTTTCTAGAGATGGGGGTCTCACTATGTTGCCCAGGCTGGGAGAGAACTCTTGGGCTAAAGTAATCCTCCTGTGTCAGCTGGTCAGAAGTTTTGGATAGTCAAATCAAATAATAAAAAAGAAATGGTCAATAAAGATATGTTAAGATGCCCAACCTAATAGAAATCAATGAAATGGGGTACATTTCATTGATTACCTTAGCCTCCCCAAGTAGCTGGGACTGCAGGTGTGAGCCACTATGCCCGACTAATTTTTGTATTTTTAGTAAAGACAGGGTTTGCCATGTTGTCAAGCCTGGTCTCAAAATGGGTTCATACTTCAGAACACAAACCTCTCAACCACATCCCTCTCCTCCCAAATGCTGATGAGGGTGAGTGAGTAGACTAGGCATGCTTTTAATCTGTAGGTCTGTAAACTAAGTGCTCTTTTTGGAGGATAACAGAGTAGTTTATTCCAAAATGCAAAATGTTTATTCCCAGGGACCTAGCAAATCTACTTACGGGACTGCCACAGGAACACTGGCATGTACTGGCACAAAGATACACATATAAAGAAAGTCAAGCCAACATTGTTTTAATAATAAAAAACTGAAAACTCTAAACATCCATCAATAGTGTAATTGTTCAATAACTTTTTGGCATATTATTTATGAAATGTCAGTTATTCAAATGAATTTTACACACACACACACACACACACACATATATATATATATATGTATACATATAATTTTTTCTTTTGAGGCAGGGTGTCTCTCTGTTGCCCCCTGGATTCAAGTGATTCTCCCACCTTAGCCTTCCCAAGTAGCTGGGACTACAGGTGTGAGCCACTATGCCCAACTAATTTTTGTATTTTTAGTAAAGACAGGGTTTGCTATGTTGTCAAGCCTGGTCTCGAACTCCTGAGCTCAAGTAATCTGCCCATCTTGGCCTCCCCAAGTGCTGGGATTACAGGCCTGAACCGCTGCAACCAGTTGAATGAGACATATACTATTATAAAAAGATTTCTTAGATGCTGTTTTTGTGTGTGAGAAAGGGTGCATATAGATGCACACATGGACCCACGCATATAATATATATATATACACACACATGTTTATAAATACAGGGAAAAACATCTAAAAGGATCTACATCAAGCTTTTACTGGTGGATACCTGTGAGAATAGAACTGAGGTTGGGGAAGGAGTGAAAGGGATTTTCATTTATACTTAATAGAATGTTGTATTGCTTGAATGCTTAATTAGAATATATTATTTGTGTACATACAAATACATACATAAAAAAGAGGCCAGAGGCCAGGTGTAGTGGCTCATTCCTGCAATCAAAACACAATGGGAGACTGAGGTAGGAGAATTGCTTGAGCTCTGGAGTTCGAGACCAGCCTGAGCAACATAGCAAGACCTTATCTCTACTAAACACACACACACACACACACACACACACACACACACACGCACACACACAAACAAAATGACCCTTACTTCTTCCTGTACACTAATTTTATTGTACTTCTTCATATAGAGTACAATAGAAGAGAAAGAACCTCTCAGTATAAATATTTATTTTTCATAAAGTGAGAACCTCCATAAAAATGTACTTTTAAATTTTGATTATTTTTGACTGTAATTTATTCTTTATATCATGCTATCAAATGAAGATAAGGCAATCAGATGCTCCAAATTCTAAGAAAACTATGCAGAAGTAGAAGTATCCTGAATGACAATCTGTGGGCCAAGTACAGTCACTGCAGCTGAGGGGTCAGAACTCAACTGCACCAAGCACTCCGCCTTCCCAGTTGCCCGGAGGCCCCAGCAGCATGATGTCACCAAAAATATTCAGCCACCTTTTAATAATCAGCTTTACTACAGAAGAGCAACTACAGGTGTCACATTTCATGTTTCCTGGCCCTGGAAGTGGACGGGAGAAAAGAGGGTGACAAAAAAGTGTCTGGCTTGATAAGGACATGTTGTTGGTTCCAGAGTAGATTATGATAGAATAAAGCCCTTGAACAGACAAAAATCCATTCAGCATATTGGAAAGCTCTACATGTATATACAAACAAACCATATAGGAGAAGATAAATAAAGAAAAGTATATTTAGCCTTTGGTGTCTGCAGTGAATTAATTCCAAGACTCCAGATACCCATATCCATGGATTCTCAAGTCCCTGATACAAAATGGTGTAGAATTTATGTACAACCTACACCCATCCTCTCGTATACTTTAAATCATCTTTGGATTACTTATACTACCTAATACAAGGTAAATGCTGTGTAAATAGCTATTTTACAGTATTGTTTTATGATCTGTGTTACTTTTATTGTTGTGTTGTTATTTCGTATTTGTTTTAACATATATTTTGGGCCAGGTGTGGTGGCTCAGCCTGTAATCCCAGCATTTTGGGAGGCCGAGGCAGGCAGATCACTTGAGGCTAGGAGTTCGAGACCAGCTGGACCAACATGGTGAAACACTGTCTCTGCTAAAAATACAAAAATTAGCCAGGCATGGTGGCACATGCCTGTAATCCCAGGTACTTGGGAGGCTGAGGCAGGAGAATTGCTTGAACCTGAGAGGTGGAGGTTGCAGTAAGCTGAGATCACACCACTGTACTCCAGACTGTCTCAAAAAAATTTTTTTTAAATTTTGGATTGTGGTCAGTTGACTACACAGATGGGGAACCCATGGATATAGAAGGCCGAATATAACCCGAAAAGAAAAGAGTTTCTCTGGCACACAAGACATTAACACAGGAAGAAAGGCTGTGGAGCAAGTCTATAACAAACCTTGCTCCTCTCCATCAATTTCAGGGAAGTTTGCTGTTAAAACTGGAGGTTATACAGCAACTTCCTTTATATTTTGACATGCTCCCGGCACACAGTACCATCATCACTGGGACTGCAGGAACAGTGGCACCAGGATGTATGGCTATAGCTTAGGGGATCAGTATTTGTTTTCCACAAAGACCAATCATGATCTTCTTCATGTAATCGATCATCTATCCTGGTATTTTTTAATTGATTCAATTTTTAAAGATATGATTTGCTTGCAAATTTTTAGAAACACACCTGTTATGCAGAGCAAAGTACATTCATCCTAAAGACAGAAATAAACAGAACACCTGTGAAGTGAAGGGGTCAGATTATATTATCACTCAGGTCCTTGCTGGGTTTGGTAACCTGTTAAAGAAACTGAAGGAGACTGGGGGAAAAATGATAAGATGATAGCAATCTCCTGTGGCACCAGTAAAATCAGGATTCCCATTCTAAAGTTAAATCTTCTGAAAAGTCAGCTTCAATCATGTTAAGTCTATTGTGAAACCAAAGCATTATGTATGTGCCCACATGGACTCTTGCCAACATCTATTCTGGGCATACAACTTCAACTAAGTCTGTTCAAGAGCAGAATAAATGATGTTGTCTTCAGGCCCAGAAAAAAACTAAGAAAGGAACCAAAATGTAGCCCTTTGGAATGATTCAGACTTCTTTGAAAGAAAAGATTTAATTTTAGAAATTCTTATTCAGCATGATTAGTTTTAGTGTTCTTGAAGGAGATAGCTGCGTTTATTATGAAATTCTAGAAATTTATGATCTTATCTAGTCGTTATCTTTAAAACTGTCACATTGACTGTTAGGTTCTTAAAAGCAAACAAGAATGAATGTGAGAAGCGGAAATGTTCATAAGATGGTTTTAAGCTAAACTGTTTAAAAACATTTTTTAAATGTGATAAAATATACCTATCATAAAATTTACCAGTGTAAGCAATTTTTTTTTTTTTTTTTTTGACCAACTTAACATGGGATCACATCTTAAGCATTTTCAATTGCTTTTCTTTTTTCTTTTTTTTTTTTCTGAGACGGAGTTTCGCTCTTGTTACCCAGGCTGGAGTGCAATGGCGCAATCTCGGCTCACCGCAACCTCCGCCTCCTGGGTTCAAGCAATTCTCCTGCCTCAGCCTCCTGAGTAGTTGGGATTACAGGCACGTGCCACCATGCCCTGCTAATTTTTTGTATTTTTAGTAGAGACGGGGTTTCACCTTGTTGACCAGGATGGTCTAGCATTTTCAATTTCTAAACTGCATTTTGTCACCTACCTTGTAAACTGTCGACTCTCTTCATGAACTTCCATTTCTGTGCTTTTAAATTCATTTAGTTCTTTCCTTATTGCTGCCTAAAAAGGAAAAAAAATAGATAAACAGAATTATTATTTAGGTCATACACTGCTCCAGCATATACAGCATCAATAAAGAAGATCTTTCTTTCTTTCTTTCTTTTTTTTAAGAGATAGGGTCTTGCTCTGTCTCCCAAGCTGGAGTGGAGTGGTACAATCACAGCTCATTGCAGCCTCAAACTCCTGGGCTCAAGTGATCCTCCCACCTCAGCATTCCAAGTAACTAGGATTACAGGCGTGTGCCACCATGCTTAGCTAATTAAAAATTTTATTTTGCAGAGACAAGGTTTCAATATGTTGCCCAGGTTGGTCTCGAACTTCTAGGCTCAAGTGATCCCCTCATCTCAGTCTCTCAAAGTGCTGAGATTGCAGGCATGAGCCATCATACCCAGCTTAGACATTCTTTTAGGGTGTAATAAATGTAATACCATACTATAGCCAAACTACAACCACGATAGACTTTCTTCAAGTGCCCTTGGCAAGAGGAATTGGGAGGGGGCCTTTGCTAAATTCATCTTTGAGCCTGGTCTATGAGTCACATGGGACACCCCCCACCCACGGTGACCACAAGGAAAGTGCAGGTGATGACATTTTCTGAGAAGCAATATCATTTTCCTATGGAAAGTTCTGCACTGAATATTGCACAAACAGCATGGCTTTAACTAACTGCCAGAGAGCTACTGAGAAAGCAATCACATATATATTCTTTAATACTAAAGGTTTATAGACATAGAACTTACAATTTCAGCACAGCACTTAAAGCTACTCAAAGAAAATATCAAATATAATGCATTGCTATTTAAATAACACATAATCTGTGTCACGTAATTTTTGGTATTTGAGGAGATGCTTACGTCATTCAGACTGAAATGTTAACATTAGTTATCTGTTAAATAGTGGCAGGATTATAGATGGTTTGTGGTTTTACAATTTTGCTTATTTTTATTTCCTAACTTTTCTACAAAGAATATTTTACTCATGTTTTTAAAAAGGTGCTAATAAAAACACCCCTGTAACCTCTAGGCAAAACGAACTCTTCAGCCAAAACAAAGAATGATAAGTCATAGGGAGTGACTTCACTGGGAGATAAAGTCTCCTTTGTGGTTGGAAAATAATAAATTTTAGAAAAGAGATCAGACAGAAGAGACCCCTGAGCCCTCTCTGTGGCTCTCTCTCTTATAACTATCTTTCTGCAATACACAAGGCTTTCCCTCAACACTCCTTTCAATGCTACGTGTAAGTCCTGCATCACAGATTGTCTTTTCTTCCCAGATATATTCCTCAGGCCCTGTAGTTTCTATGGGGAACCTGTGACTAGGAACGGTGACAATGATTCTTGCTACTGACTTTTGGAAACGAAGAAACAGAAATATGTGTGGGCCTGAGTCCTCTGTGACACGTCTGTCCAGGTGGTCTCACCAGTCTCTCACAGTGAGGACACTTTTGCTTACCACAAAAACTGATGCCTAGAAATATCATACAGATGAAGAAGGAGAAATAGTGAGGATACTCTATACCACTCACCAATTAACATCTATAAAACACTCTTTCTTGAAAGGAGATATTTTAAACTAAACAGTGGCAGAGAATCCTGTCTTGATGTTCATTTTAAATTTCTTCTCCTAATGTAAGGTTTCAACAGAGGAAGTGAAGGCAGTACACTTGGAATCAGAAGACAGGGATTCTAGTCTTGGCTCTGCCCTCATTAGCTGTGTGACCCTTACTGAATCACTCCAAACCTCAATTTTCTTATCTGGAAAACCAGGAGGAAATTCTTCACAATATCATGAGAATTAACCAAGAGCATATTTGAAAGTGCTTTGTACACTGTAGAGTCAATAAAATGTCATTATTATGAGCTTTTTGAAAAACAAATTATTCTAGTCTGTGATTGAGATTAACAATTCTTTAATTGTTATTTATGAAGAGTCTACTGGAATGAAAGAAGATAATGCCAGGGTAGTTGCCTTAACCACGAATAAAATAAAGACCTTATTTGCAATAGTAGGTTGGCTACTGATCTAAGAGTATGGCCAAAATCAGTGAAAGCCTTCTGTGAGGATCTGTTGAGCTATGGAATTTACAAAACATTACAACTGTAAATTGTGTGCTATACATCCTTTATATTAATAACATTTGTAATTCACTGACGACCATATACCTATGTATAGAGAGAGACAATTTACTATTTACAGGCATGTCCTACATGCTCATTGGCAGTGTGACTTTGCTATTCCCCCATCAAGAGGTGAAGTCTATCTCTCCAACCTTGACTCTGGGTGTGTCTGGTAATCACTTTCAACAAATGAACACAGTAGAGGTGATATGTGCCAGTCTGATGTAGCCCTTCACTGGCCTGGCATGTTCTGCTTCTTGTTACTTGAAAGTCAGTTGCCATGTTAAAAAAAAAAACAAAAACAAGTGAGTCCTCTCAGAAAACCATGCTGTGAGAAACCGAAGGTACAGGGAAAGGCCCCGGAGGATAAGATGCCGGGTAGCTAGAGAGAGAGGTCAAGGAGCCAAAGGCACCGACGGTTAGTGAAGTTACCTTGGAAGTGAATTCTCTAACCCAGCATTTCACCTGATGCCACAGGGATCTGAAACAAACTGCTGGGCTGAGCCCTTCTCAAATTTCTAACTCACAGAATTGAGAGCAAAATAAATAGTTGTTTTAAAAGCCACTAAGTTCTGGGGTGGCTTGTTAAAAAGCAGTTGATAGCCCAAAAACTATTCCAAGGCTTTAACCTTGCAGATGATACAATGGTGGCCTAGAGAGGTCACATGACTTGCTAGGGAGAGTGACATTAACCCTTTTCCTGTTTGCCCCAAGAATACTCGCCTGGCTGCACTCATGCCGGCAGCTGTTTACCTAAAGATAAGTTTGCCATGACATATCTTGCTTTTATTTTCGCAACGTTCTAGTAGATCGACTTTGGAAAGAAAGACATTATTCTATTTAGAGCATGATGATTTTAGTAGTGGCATTTCCATTTACAAAATACAGTATTTCTTAGTTGCTGAAAATGTCAAATCCTAGAAAACACAGCATCTCTACGTGTGATGTTAACATCATTCTCAAACGGCTGTTGGTCAAAAAATCGTTTGATGAATCGAATTTTTCCGAAATAGATATTCTGTTTTTAGTTCTATTTAGATACAACTCCAAGAACAGTGTTTATATTTTATTTTATTTTTATTTATTTATTTATTTCGAGACAGGGTCTCACCCTGTCATTCAGGTTGGAGTGCAGTGGTGTGATCTTGGCTCACTGCAACCTCTGCCTCCTGTGTTCAAACAATCCTCCCACCTCAGCCTCCTGAGTGGCTGGGACTACAGGTGTGTGCCACCATGCCTGGCTTATTTTTTCTACCTTTTAGAGATGGATTTTGCCATGTTGGCCAGACTGGTCTCAAACTCCTGGGCTCAAGCAATCCACCCCCTTTGGCCTCCCAAATTACTGGGATTACAGGCGTGAACCATCGCAATTGGCCTCTTTTTTATTTTCCACATTGAAAACCAGTCAGATTTGCTTCAGCCTCAAAAGCGTGTTTATGTAAAATTAAATGAACACTGGCAGCAAGCTGCACTTTCTTTCTCTAAACAGGAAGAGGGTTAAGGGACAAACATGGGGCTCCTACACGAGGCTTTTTAACCTCACATCCTACAGGCTTTCCATCAAAAGAGCTTCTGGGACCCTGTCATTAGGATAATTGCTTCAGATCTGCATGTTGTGTGTGCTGGCTTACAATTAGAAATGATGATTCAGTTATGTGAATAATGTGGCAATGAATGTGCTGTGAAATTATAAGGACTAGTTGTTTGAAAAAATATATCAGAAAGATGTGACTACAATTAAAGAAATAGAATGCTTGTTTTAAAAATTCACTGAAGATTGATTGCAGTTTTATTACAAGAGCTACTTCCTCTTGGAATAAAGAGAAAGATTTCCTGAGAGGTTTTAAAAGAGGTAAAAAGTAATTCAGACGCTTTAGACAAATACATGTATAATAAACTTAACTCTCTTCTTTGCAAAGGAGACCAGGTTTTAGGCCTAATAATTCTTCACATCTATGTAAATAGGACTGATTTTTGTGCGTGTGTGTATTTTTTTTTTTTTTTTTTTTTTTGAGACAGGGTCTTGTTCTGTCACCCAGGCTAGAGTGCAGGTGGTGTGATCACAGCTCACTGCAGCCTCAAATTTCAGGGCTTAAGACACCCTCTCACCTCAGTCTCCTGAGTAGGTGGGAGCACAGGTGTGTGGCCATGACACCCAGCTAACTAAAAACAAAAATTTTAGAGATGAGGTTTTGCTGTGTTGCCCAGGCTGATCTTGAACTCCTGGGTTCAAGCAATCCTCCTGCCTCAGCCTTCCCAAAGTGTTGGGATTACAGCCATGAGCCACCACGCCCAGCCTGGGACTGATTTTGTTGAAAGACATGCATTAGAAAGAGCTGGTCTGAGGTTATGAGGGATTAGAGCACCAATGATGTTGGGTTGTACCACCAATGGGAAGCCATTGAACCAAAACTAGGTATTTCTAGAGAAGAAACAACAACAACAAAACCCTACGAGAGCAACTGAGACCAAATATATAGTGATTTTGGCATCATGAGAATCATAGAGAGGAAAAAGGAAACAAAAATATCTGAAACGAAGTTTAAAATTGGCCAATGGTGAGTGGCAACATGTCTGTTTCATCAGTCCCAGTCAGCTCAGGGGTTATGCTGGGAAGAAGCAATAGGTGATTTGTTGAAAATGCAGACCCTGCTGCCTCCTCTGTTAATTCTGCTGTGAGGCCAGAATTAACTAGAGTTGCCATTTTTATATCCTTTGTTTATTTCTTGGATAAAATTACGAAGGGATGGGGGAGGATTTCTGGACTACTTATCAAGCTCAATGCCACAGGGAGGCAAGTGCACTCCCTTCTGCTGCTAGGGCAACAATGAACAGGACAAAGAATAGCTCAGGGAGAACAAAAATCTCAGGCTTCCCTAGGACC